ACACACACTCTCTCTCACACTCACACACTCACACACTCTCTCACACACACACGCACACACTCGCATGCACGCGCACACACTCACTCACACACATCCAGACAAAATAATTTTCATAGCATTTGTACAAGTTACTAAATGAATTCAATTGATTAGATCAAAAGAAAAAGAAAAATAATTTCATGGGGCTCTATAAGTTATTAAAAATAATCCAAATGTAAAACCTGCTTTCATCAGAAATGATGATCAGCCGTCTTCACACAGAGACTTTCACCGATCATGATCCGATCCGGTTTATTTCTCACTGTGGAGCTGCATGTTCATGTTGATGTGAAGCGAATCACTTCTACAGCTGATCGAGTGAATCTGAGTCATTTGAATTGAATCGGTTGTGTTTGCTGTCGTTCCATTAGGATCAGCCGCCTCCGTACTTCCCTCCTGAGAATCCAGACAAGAAGAACATCTGAAGAACACGAACACGGACTCTTCTGGGGGATCGGAGCGATTCGCTCGTGTGCTGGATGATTCGTTCTGATCGGTTCATTTGATTCGGTGTGTTTCTCTCTGTCAGAGCTGAAGCAGCCCATTCATATATACTGATTTACTATTTAGCCCGAAAAAAGTAACAAACACTTCTATTTCTGCTTACTCCGTTTTTAATCCTGGTGTGTGTGATGCTGGACTTCTCTGTAAATTCCTTTTGATAATATAATAACCATAAATCATAGTAAAGTAGGTGATAGTGGATCAGTCCTGACAGAGTCGATGAATAAAGCTCTGTATTCTCTCAGTGTTCTTGTGTTCATTTCATTCACGTCATCCGTTCAAACTCGCTTCAGATCATCACAGCAGTTCAACACCAGATGAAGTGTAAGAAACCGAACCACAACCTGAGTGAAACACATCATCCTCATCACCGTGCTAATGAGCGTCAGCTGATGGACTGCTAGTTGAGCTGGCTGGTTAGGGTTAGTGGAGATTCTCAGTATGAAGTCTGTCTCTCTGATCATGTAAGTTCATCATCATATTGAAACTGCTGCTTTTAGAAACTGAATCAAAAGAGTCGAATCGCTCGAACTGCTGCCGCCTGCTGGTCAGAACCGTGTAAATGCAACGAAAACAAACCAACTGCAAATCTAGTGAAAGAGTAATCAATTTAATACAATTAGCAAATAATCTAATATCATTAAATATAAAGTGTCCGTGTAAAATGTTATTTGATCAAATTGTATTGTGGAGCGTTTGGTTAATCAGGCCAGTAAGAGACTAATAACCGACTCTTACTTTTATCACACACGTGTCATTAAAAATGTCTACAAACGTATAAAACTGACCCGAGATCAGCCTCGAAACGGTTTGAGCTCAGTCTGGATATGACGCTGACTTTTCTGTGTGTTCTGATATTTAACTGAGAACAAAAAATTCTACCAAGGTTTCTTAACTTGCATCGAGTATGTGGACAGAAAACAAGCTTTCATTTGAATATTCGTAGCTCGATCATAATGCTGCTTGATGAAAAGATGTGAACTGTATTACTTTTAAAGTGTAGTGTATGCCTGCGATCGCTCTCCGTTACGCGTGTTACATGCTTTAAAACCTCCAGAAACATTCAGACGCAGAGAAACATCTGCTAGAAGATCAGAAAATTAAATCAGAATCCACAGCTGGAGTTTCTCTGCTGTCAGACGGGTTAGTTATGACCTTTACTAGTCAAACCTTCACCTTCATCTAGAGCAGATCAACATGAGGTGTTAGCATAGACAGACAGATAGATGGATAGACAGACAGATAGATGGATAGACAGACGGATAGATAGACGGATTGATGCATAGATAGATAGACGACATCTGCCGGACTTTAAGCTGTTCAGAGTGGATCGCGACGCAGAATCAACGGGGAAATCGCGCGGCAGCAAGACATGCTTTTACATCAACGAAAGGTGGTGTACAGATGTAACTGTGTTAAAGAAGATGTGCTGTTCAGATCTAGAAGCGCTTTTCATTAACTGTAGGCCTTTCTACTCGCCGCGGGAGTTTTGCTCGTTCATTCTCGTCAGTGTCTACATTCCTCCGCAAGCGCACGTGAGCTCAGCTTTACAGAAACTTGCTGATCAGATCACAGAGACAGAACAACAACACCCGGACTCTGTTTTAATCATTCTCGGGGACTTTAATAAAGCAAATCTCTCCCGTGAACTGCCAAAATACAGACAGCACATCACATGTCCCACCAGAGACAGTAATATATTGGATCTCATGAACACTTAACAATAACTGTGGAACACACACTATTTATACACTCATACACTTATTTATCTAACACACATACTTAGTCTACACCTCAAATTTGCACATAATATACCTGTACATACAAAACTGTCTATTGTAATATACCTGCACATACAATTGTCAATTTATATATTGTTATTCCTTATTTACTTGCTCTATTTTTATTCTTCTTTTATTATCTATGTTTTTGTTCTGTCGCTGTCATTCTGTTGCACTGCGGAAGCTTCTGTCATGAAAACAAATTCCTTTTATGTGAAAACATACCTGGCAATAAAGCTCATTCTGATTCTGATTCTAGATAGATAGATAGATGGACAGATAGATAGATAGATAGATAGATATATATTTCTACTAATTGACCGAGACTTCATCATTAGCCACTATAGGAAAATAACTAGAACAACAAAGTGCCGTAAACGGTAAAACTCTTTGTGCATCTAAACCAGTGTGTATTAAAATAATATGATAACATCGGTTTACAATGTCAAGCAGCTTGTTTTTGTACAGCTAAAATAACTGGAAGTTTCAGACATACAAGACAGAAATCCTTGCATTAGAAATAAAGCTCGCTTTCCTCTGCACTTTGCTAGAACTCAACATGTGACAAAGGGGTTATGGGTAATTTTAGCCAAAACTCATGCATGGACACACACTCTTTTACAATCCATCGTCCAGGCACGTGTAGCTCACTATGGAACGAGTCTCAGGGCTCGTCCTGCAGGAACCACACCTCGTTACGCCGGCTGTACGGTTTGATTGGCGGGTCATAGCTGCAGCACAGGTACTGTTTGCGCTGGAAGGGGCCGGAGTCTCCCAGTGTGCACGTCAGACGCGACGCTTCCGCGCGAAACTCGCTCTCGCCCGCGAAACCACCGAACCGCCTGCAGGGGGAGACAGAGATGGCTGGTTAGTTAGTTAGTTAGTAGCATCGCTGCTAGAGACGGTGAGTTACTGTGAGCTGACGTACAGGACGTATACGGTCATCCCGGGCCGGTCCTCGATCCGTATGGACGAGTCTGTCGGGGTGGGCGGGCTGATCTGGAAGGATGATGGGATGCGCAGAGCGGCGACCAGACGGCGGTTCAGAGAGCCGTCATCACGCGGAAACACAGTGAAGATGATGGGGACGGGCGTGATCATGACCTCACCTGCATCACAGAGACATGCTAAAACACGCGCACACACTAAACACTGACAAATACAGATCATTCAAATACTAAGATAGCTGCAATATGGCTGAGGAATTTTCCCAGTGAACAAAAGACATATAACGAATGTTTTGCTAACACTCCCATTAAGTTCACAGTACACAGTTGGACTGGGTTGACAGAACTGATTAATCAGTATTAATCATCTTTTTGGTGAAGTCATATCAATTCTTAAATCACAAAATCGATCTTTTATTTTTTGCTATTTTCAGTTGATACGTTTATTAGCCTGTTTTCAGTTGATGCGTGAACTTTATTTGTAGTGTCATCCAGTAATTGCAATAATCTTTGTGATTTTTTTCTTTTGATATGAAACAAATTCTCAGCATTCAAACTGGTGCGCTCTGATTTGCTGTGTATCTATTTGCAATGCTTCGATTGGCTGATTTGCAGTGTTCTGATTGGCTGCGTGTCTGTTTGCAATGTTCTGATTGGCTGCGTGTCTGTTTGCAGCATTCTGATTGGCTGCGCGTCTGTTTTCAGCGTTCTGATTGGTTGCGCGTCTGTTTGCAGCATTCTGATTGGCTTCGCATCTGTTTGCAGCATTCTGATTGGCTTCGCATCTGTTTGCAGCATTCTGATTGGCTTCGCATCTGTTTGCAGCATTCTGATTGGCTGCGCGTCTGTTTGCAATGCTCTGATTGGCTGCGTGTCTGTTTGCAGCATTCTGATTGGCTTCGCATCTGTTTGCAGCATTTTGATTGGCTGCGCGTCTGTTTGCAATGCTCTGATTGGCTGCGCGTCTGTTTGCAGCGTTCTGATTGGCTGCGCGTCTGTTTGCAGCGTTCTGATTGGCTGCGCGTCTGTTTGCAGCATTCTGATTGGCTGCGCGTCTGTTTGCAGCATTCTGATTGGCTGCGCGTCTGTTTGCAGCATTCTGATTGGCTTCGCATCTGTTTGCAGCATTCTGATTGGCTGCGCGTCTGTTTGCAGCATTCTGATTGGCTGCGCGTCTGTTTGCAGCATTCTGATTGGCTGCGCGTCTGTTTGCAGCATTCTGATTGGCTGCGCGTCTGTTTTCAGCGTTCTGATTGGTTGCGCGTCTGTTTGCAGCATTCTGATTGGCTTCGCATCTGTTTGCAGCATTTTGATTGGCTGCGCGTCTGTTTGCAATGCTCTGATTGGCTGCGCGTCTGTTTGCAGAGTTCTGATTGGCTGCGTGTCTGTTTGCAGTG